TAGCCTTGAACAAAAGAAACTCAGGGACAGTGCTGAGGTCCTGAGTTCAAGCCCCAGTAGTACTAGCCAAAAAAAAAAAAGTGGGTTGTAATCCTATCTACTCAGGAGGCTGAGATCTGAGGATCATAGTTTGAAGCTAGCCCAGGGAGAAAAATCTGTGAGACTCATCTGCAATAAACTACTCAGAAAAAGCTGGAAGTGGCGCTGTGGTAGAGCACTAGCCTTGAGCACAGAGAGACTCAGAGACAGGACCCTGAGTTCAAGCCCCAGGACTAGGGGGAAAAAAATGGCTCTGATGTGAAAAAGGATGTGAATTCGAAGTAGCAAACAAAAAGTAGAAATAAATCAACCCAAACCCAGAGAATGCCAAACCCTTCTATCTAGCTGTTAAAACATAGTCTATTGGGCTGGGAATGTGGCTGAGTGGTAGAATGCTTGCCTAACATGCATGAAGCCCTGGGTTCAATTCCCCAGTACCATATAAACAGAAAAAGCGGTGATGTGGCTCAAGTGGTAGAGTGCTAGTCTTGAACAAAAGCAGCTCAGTGACAGTGCCTAGGCCCTGAGTTCAAGCCCCAGGACTGGCAAATAAATAAATTCTATCACCATAATTTATCACTAATTAATACACTCTGCTAGTTAATATACAAACACTGCAGGATTTTTAGTGGAAAGTAGCACTTTCTAGTAGGTATTTCCATTTCATTTTAAAGTAATAGTTAATTCTACATAACAATCATGGGATTAATAGCCAGGCACGGTGGCTCAAATCTATAATTCTATATACTTGGGAAATGGGGGAATCAGGGTTAGCAACTAGCCTGGGCATAAAAAAGTTCCTGAGACTCTATCTCAACCAACGGCTGGGTGCTGTGGCTATCATCCCAGTGACACTGGAGAGCACAAATAGGACTGCAGACCAGGCAAAATGGAAATAAAACAAAAATAAACAAAAATAACTAAAATATAACCAATGCAAAAAGGAGCTGGGAGAATAGCTCAATTGGAATAATGCCTGCCTAGCAAATGCAAGGCCCTCCCCACCCAAATCACCTAGTGATCTTATTAAGGTATCTATTTCAATCAAAAATTGAGATGGCTGGTTCCAGTGGCTCACGACTATAATCTTAGCTACTCAGGAGTCTAAGATCTAAGGATCACCGTTCAAAGCCAGCCTAGGCAGGAATGTCCATGAACTCTTATCTCCAATTAAACACCAGAAAACCAGAAGTGGCACTGTGGCTAAAGTAGTAGAGCACTGGTCTTGAGCTGAAGAGCTCAGGGACAGCACCCAGGACAAGAGTTCAAGACCTATGACTGACAAAAATAAATTGAGATAAGGAGTGAAGAGTTTGGCATTCTACTACCACCTCCAGATCATGACTACTCTGGTGGTCTTCCGATCACAGTTTGAATAACAAGGTATTTGAATAGGTTCACATTCAGCATAACTCATTAGAAAAAATAAAGCAAACTTTAAAACAGAATGGTAATAAGATGGCAAGTTTGATGAGTACTCTATGTTTTGTATGTCTGAGCACAAGTTTTCTTTTCTCCTTCCTTCCTTCCATTCCTTTCCTTTCTCTGTCTCTCTCTCCTCTGTCTCTCTTTCTTTCTCTCTCTTTCTTTTCCTTCCTTCTTTCCCTTCCTTCCTTCCTCTTTCTTTCCTTCTTTCTCCCTCCCTCCCTCCCTTCCTTCCTTCCTCCTTTCTTTTTTTTTGCTGGTCCTGGGGCTTGAACTCAGGATCTGGGCACTGTCCCTGAGCCTCTAAGGGTTCAAGGCTAGCTCTCTGATTTGATCCACAGCAACATTTCCAGCTTTTTCTGAGTGGTTTATTAGAGACTTTTCTCCCTGGGCTCTGAACCATGATTTTCAGATCTCAGCCTCTGAGTAGCTAGGATTACAGGCATGAACTACCTATGCCCGTCTTGAGCACAAGTTTTCTATCAACAATAAAGAACATACAAATTAACATCACTCATTCATTCCTATCTCAGAAAAGCAGAACTGGCCAGTTAACCAGACAACCCGAGGTTAATTCCATATCAAAACTTTAAAAAGCTGCCACAGAAAAGTAATCATTCCATAGAACATTAACCACTACTTATTCCTCTCTGCATTTTTTCCTTACATCTTCTGTTCCTTTTCTTCTTCTTTTTTTTTTTGTGGGTCATGGGACTTAAAACTCAGCCTGGGCGCTGTCCCTGAATTATTCAGTTCCAGGTGAGCGCTCTACCAGCCAGTTGAGCCTCAGCGCCACTTCCGGCCTTTTCTGTTTATGTGGTACTGACGAATCAAACCCAGGGCTTCAAGTATACCAGGCAAGCACTCTACCACTACTAAGCCACATTCCCAGCCCCCAATAACAATTTTCTTTTGTTTTTGTTGATTGTGGGACCTGAATGCTGAGCCTGGGCGCTGCCCCTCAGCTCTTCGGCTCAAGGTCAGCACTCTACCAGTTGAGCCACAGCGCTACTTCTGGCTTTTTCTGCTTATGTGGTGCTAAGGAATTGAACCCAGGGCTTCATGCATGCAAGGCAAGCACCCTACCAATGAGCCACCTTCCCAGCCCCCAATAACAATTTTTAAAACTTGGCTGGCAAAGGTATACTGAAATCAGTATGGCCAAAACACTAACTAAAAAGTAAGGAAGCATTCTACTATCTAAAAACAAACTCACATCTAAGATTCCTTGAGTCAGAATTAAAAACTAAGAATTAATATAATTTAATCTGCAGCATGTAACTTCAGAATAGAGTTCTGCTTTTCTATGTCATCCAGAGGAAAGTTAACAATAACTATTCCAGTAAAAGCTTTATCTATTTTTTCTGAGACAGGATCTTGTACATAATTCAGGCTGGCCTCAAACTTGAGATCCTCCTGCTATAGCTTCCAAAGTGGTTAGGATTACTCATGTGTTCCTGACCAAATTTTTCCATAGCATTGGTCATGTTAGCAAAACATTTCTGAGTTTAAGTGCCTTGCTTAAGGGCTGTATTTTTAGTAGACATAAGACTGTAGTGAATAACTTGGACCTATCACTTGCGTGTGAATATAATTCTATTTGGTGATGGTACTGGAGCTTGAACTCAGGGAAGAGGTGCTATCCTTTAGCTTTTGTACTTGAGGCCACTGCTCTACCGCTTGAGCTAGATTACTGGCATAAGCCACTGGTGCCCGGACATGGAGGTACTTTTTATCATAATAAGAATTAATGTTCTATTAGCTATACTTAAAGCCACATTCAATTACTACATAAATCCTGAAAACTATCTTCTAGAGCTAAATTCAACCAAAAGGATAGATCTACCTACTGTCATCTCACAAACTAAAATATTCAGCTTTTCTGTTTAGTGTAGACTTTTGTCAACTAAGTGACTTATTATGTCTAGTTTTTAATAAGAGTTCTTGCAATATGTTGGTGTCTAAAACACATTAATTCACGCTATATTTGCAGTTATTCCAAAAATTATAACTGAAAGGTGGGCCTACCTAATTTAGAACTAAAAAGAAAAAACTCAAAATATAAAAATATCACCTTTGTGACAAAAACTTGATGTTGTACCTTATCAATATGGTGAAGGATTGTACTAATAACTGCTTTCTCTAATGTTTTAGAAATTTTGGCTTGATCTGACAACAAAAACACTTTAGGGGGCTAGGAAGGTGGCTCAGTGGTAGAGCGCTTGCCTTGCATGCTCAAGGCCCTGGGTTCGATTCCTCAGCACCACATAAGCAAACAGAAAAAAGCCGGAAGTGGCGCTGTGGCTCAAGTGGTAGAGCGCTAGCCTTGAGCTGAAGAGCTGAGGGACAGCGCCCAGGCCCAGAGTTCAGGCCCCACGACCGGACCCCCCCTCCCCCCAAAAAAAAAACACTTTAGGTTACTTTTTTGTGCTTGCCTACATCAGTGATGGAATTGGGCACTGCTGAAGAATAAAATGTTTACCTAGCACTTCAGCATGTTTAAGGCCCTGGGCTAATACCTTGTACGAGGTGAGAAGAGAGGATGGGATGGATGTGGGATCAGTGGTGTCTATGAAGACCCATAATGTGGTCCACAAATTCCAAATGTTTAAGATCACTATTTTCTCCACTATACTTCTCATATGAAGCTATCATTTCTTTTACATCATGCTAGAGAAAAACAACTAACCACAGAAATTTCATTTGCCCTTATCTTCTTACATTAGAAATGTACTTCATTATCCTCATTTATATTACCCCATTAAAAACCCTGATTTTAGTATTACAGCATATTCAAAAAGTATATCTAATAATTTCTAATTTTTCCATTCTTTCCTTTTGATAATTTAACAACTCAAACTGTCTTCCTCTACCTCTTGGTTATAGCCAAGAGTAGTATTTACAACTAGCATGGTGTAACACAAACAGAATGATACCAGCTCAGAAATGTATGAGTAATGAAACAGGCTTACTAAATATTAGCCTTAGGGACAACACATTTTAAGTAGTCTATTCTAATGCTAGCCCCATTCTCAAAGACCCAATTTGGTTATTCCCTGTCTGCCACTTCCCTGAAAAAGGTAACAGCTTTCATGAAAGACAATTATCTAAATTAGATTCCAAAGATTAATTCAAGATTCCATCTTATTAAATCCTTAATTTCCCTACTTTTATTCCTTAGCAGAAGAATTAAGGAGACACTAAAACATACTATTGTGTTCTTTGTCCTACATCACCTCTAGAGTTGAGGCTCTTTAAGTCTGGCTTTTTACTATATAGCTCTGTTTGATTATATCTACACAGGTTATACAAGTTCTTTCTCTTTTCAACCAAATGAAAACAGCTAATATACATATAGATAGTTATTAAGGACATTTAAAGTGTTAGAGAAACAAATACCTTGCATTTAGAGGAAATAGAGAATACAGAGAGCCACAAAAACCAAACAGATGAGTCATTTAGAAATAAATGTAACACCATGAAGTTCTACGTAGCAGTATCAAACATATCTTGGCTGTTTTTAGAAATACCCTTACCCAGCTTTGGAAAAACTATTAAGTACTCAGCATTGCATTGAGGACATGCCACTCTGGCTGTACTGTTTCCTCTTTGTTTTTCATCCACCCAGCGCTGTAGACAAGCTTGGTGAACCCATTTGGTAGATCCTCTGCACCGGCATGGTCTCACCCATTCAGCTGTTCTATCATCTTCATCAGTGGCAAAACACACCCAGCAACTTCTGCAAGAGAGAACAATGGTGTTTTATCTTTAGGATTGTAGCCTCCTGTACACTTAAGTTCCTTCTTAATAAGATGAACCTATTATGTTTTATTATAGAACTTCTGCTTACATACATTTATAACTAAGGAGACAGAGTTGGGCACCAGTGGCTCAGGCCTATAATTATAGCTATTCTAGAATCTCAGCTCCAGAGGATCATGGTTCAAGGCCAGCCCAGACAAAAAACAAAATCTAGGAAACTCCATCTCCAATCAACTATCAAAAAGTTGGGTCAGGGCTGGGAAGGTGGCTCAGTGGTAGAGTGCTTGCTTTGCATGCATGAGGCCCGGGGTTCAATTCCCTCAGCGCCACATAAGCAGAAAAAGCCAGAAGTAGCGCTGTGGCTCACATAGTAGAGTGCTAGCCTTGAGCTGAAGAGCTGATGGGCAGCGACCAGGCTCAGAGTTCCAGGCCCCACGACCAACCAAAAAAAAAAAAAAAATGTTGGGCCAGGCTAGGAATGTGGCTTAGTGGTAGAGTGCTTCCCTAGCATGCATGGACCCCTGGGTTCAATTCCTCAGTACCACATACACAGAAAAAGCTGGGAGTTGTGCTGGAGATCAAGTGGTAGCTTTGAACAAAATAAGCTCAGGAAGAGTGCCCAGGCCCTAAATTCAAGCCTCAGGACTCCCCCCCCACTCCCCAAAAAAGGTTTGTCTCAGACAATACTCTTTCAGATCTCCACTTCTGAGTCTGTCTCAGATTTGTCTGCCCAGCCTGGCTTGGAATCAAGAACATCAGTTCTCAGCCTCCTGAGTAGGATTATAGATATGAGCCACTGTTAAACAGTTCCCAATTTTTTTATGAAGCAGAAAGGGGCCAGTCTTGGGGGGCTAGGGAGAAAGTGAGAGTGTGAGGCCCTGAGTTCAATTCCCAGTTACCAACATACACACACACACATGAAAAGCAGAAAAAAGAAATTTTAAAATGACGGGCTTAAATTTCTCAAGACCTTGGAAGGGAAATGATAGAAATTTGAGGCTTAGTGCTTAAGATTCCTCCTCTTTTCTAGGAGCAAGATTTCTACAGAAAATCACTCTTCCTCCAACATTAGCCTGTTATGTGGTTAACACAGCAATGGCCTCATCTCCTGAAAGAATTCAGCCTCAAACTATTTCATCCCAATCCTCAGATTATAGTGTTTGGGAGGCTAGGCTTGTTACAGTGAGTCTCAGAACTTGGGAACAGGTGGCGAATAGACTTTCTTCTGCTGAGTTTATAGATGGTAATTGCTGTCAGAAGACCCACCTCATGGAGGATGAGAAATCCAGAAGAAACAAAGCTGAAAGATAGAAACTGCTAGATAGTATTGGTTAAGACATGAAATCGAGCTGTGGATAAAGTTAGAAATGGTCCAAATAGCTTATATGAGCATATGAAAAGGGACCAATGGGGGAAAAAAGAAAAGAAATGGACCATTAAATCTGTTGAAACTGTTTTGAGGAGGAGGACGAGGCATAAGGAGAATGAGAGGGTAAGGCTGATGGGATACACTGTATGAATGTAAAGAAATGTTACAATGAACCCCCCCAGTACAACTAATGAATATTAATAAAGGCTCAAAAAAGAAAAAAAAGACCACTTAATTTTAAAATATAGTTTGCCACTTTTAATCGTTATCCTTCTTCCTTTTTTTCATGGGGGGGGGGAGTTTGGGAGTAGTAAGTGATGTAGTCCAGGTCTACAACGAACAGGCCTTGAACTCAAGAACCTCCTTCCTCAGCTTTCAGAGTACTGGAATTACAGGGTATATAAAATCATGCCTACCACAATAATTATTCCTAATAGTAAAATTTGTGAAGAGTTTAAGGAATATACATGGTTAGGCTGTCTTAAATCTAATATTCAAGTTCTCCTAAGTACATTCAATACTTGATGTAACAAGAAACTACATTTATAGAATTTACAGTCTACATAAGGAACACACATGAGTACACAATATCAAATTTAAAAACCACCATGAAAAACACTAGTGCTAGGGCTGGGAAGGTGGCTCAGTGGTAGAGCGTTTGCCTTGCATGCTCAAGGCCCTGGGTTCGATTCCTTAGTACCACATAAGCAAAAAGAAAAAAGCCGGAAGTGGGCGCTGTGGCTCAAGTGGTAGAGCGCTAGCCTTGAGCTGAAGAGCTGAGGGACAGCGGCCAGGCCCAGAGTTCAGGCCCCACGACCGGACCCCAACAAAAAAAAGAAAAACACTAGTGCTAAAAAAGTAATTAGAAATTAACACTGAAGGGCTGGGAAGGTGGCTCAGTAGTAGAGCGCTTGCCTTGCATGCCAGAGGCCCTGGGTTCGATTCCTCAGCACCACATAAGCAGAAAGAAAAAAGCCGGAAGTGGTGCTGGGGCTCAAGTGGTAGAGCGTTAGCCTTGAGCTGAAGAGCTGAGGGACAGCGCCCAGGCCCAGAGTTCAGGCCCACGACCAGACCCCCCCCCCAAAAAAAAGAAAAAAAAAGAAATTAACACTGAAATGGGATGACAATAAGAAACAGGGAAAGCTGGGTGCCAGCAGCTCACACCTGTCATCCTAGCTACTCTGGAGGCTGAGATCTGAGGATCACAGTTCAAAGCCAGCCCAGGAGGAAAGTTGGTGAGACTGTTAATTCCAATTAACCACCAGAAAACTGGAAGTAGCACTGTGGTTCAAGTGGTAGAGCATTGGCCTTTAGCTGAAGAGCTGAGGGACAGTGCCCAGCCCCAGAGTTGAAGCCCCACAACCAAAAACAAAAAGAGAAAAAGAGAGAGACACACACACACATAGGATAAACATACACAGAAAACAGCTATAGATGAGCACATAAAATTTAATGAAAAAATGAAACAGAATGACAAGAATAAATAAGCTAGAGGTGAATGAGCCTATGTTTACTTGCTAATGTGCTGGAGCAGGAAGGTTCTGTTAAGACAAAGCTAGATATTACCAACCTATGCTAATAATGAAGACCTCACTCCATAAGGTCTATTTGTGTTCCAACCACAGTTTATTTGATTTTTTTTATGTGTAGAAAAAAAGTAGAGGAAGGGACTTATTAACAAAATAGTTTCTTACTATTATGAGCTATTACTAACAGTATTTAAATGAAGCAAGATGCAGCTGAGAGTAAAGCTTATCTTTGCAGAATCAAATGTATTAAAAGACCTGAGAAGCTGGGTGCCGGTGGCTCACGCCTGTAATCCTAGCTTCTCAAGATGCTAAGAGCTGAGGATCACAGTTCAAAGCCAGCCTGGGCAGAAAAGTCCATGAGACTTTTGTCTCCAATTACAGAAAAAGCCAGAAGTGGCTCTGTGACTCAATTAGTAGAGTGCTAGCTTTGAGCAAGAAGAGCTCAAAGACAGCATCTAGGCCTAGAGTTCAACCCCCAAGACTGGCAAAAACAAACAAAAACCTGAGAAAATAGAGCTGGGTATGGTGGCACAGGAATTTCAACACTTAGTGGTGAGAGAGGAGGACTGAAAGTTCAGACCCATCTGGGCTACATAGTGAGTGTGAGGCCAGACATAGTAACATAGATCTTGGTTCAAAACTCACTAAAAAAGAGTTCAGTAGGACATAGTGGTGCAGACCTGTAATTCCATCCAGCTGCTCAGAAAGAGGCAGGAGGATTGCTAAGTTTGAGACCAGCTGGGGCATGATTAATATAATGTTTTAATACAAGCATCAAATTTGTACCACTGGGTCCAATGGGTCCAAGGGCCAGAGTTCTGGGTTTCATTACAGGAAGAATTAAAGAGCAGACACGGTAAGTCAGGCAAGATGAGGTTTATTAATGCAAAGCAAAGCAAAGCAAAGCAGAAGTGAATCCTTCAGATGGGACAGCTCAAGAGGATGGCTAGAGGTCTCAACAACTTCCACCTTTCATTGACTCTGTACACTTGTCAGTCCTGGAAAACTGGGAGCAGTTTTGGCTAAGAAAGGATTTTACATACTATTTCTTTCCTTTGCTTTTTTTTTTTTGTTGTTGTTGGAAGTGGGGCTTGAACTCTGGGCTTGGACACTGTCCTTGCGCCCTTCAGCTCAAGGCTAGCACTCTACCGCTTAAGTCACAGCACCATTTCCGGTTTTCTAGTGGTTTATTGGAAACAAAAGTCTAACGGACTTTCCTGCCTGGGCTGGCTTTGAACCGTGACCCTCAGATCTCAGCCTTCGAGTAGCTAGGATTACAGGCGTGAGCCACTGGCGCCTGGCTACTATTTCTTTCTTTCTTTTTTTTGTTGGTTGTGGGGCTTGAACTCTGGGCCTGGGGGCTGTCCCTCAGCTTTTCAGCTCAAGGTGAGTGCTCTACCACTTGAGCCACGGTGCCACTTCCGGTTTTCTAGTGGTTTATTGGAGGTAAGAGTCTCATAGACTTTCCTGCCCGGGCTGGCTTTGAACCGTGATCCTCAGATCTCAGCATCCTGAGTAGCTAGGACTACAGGCGTGAGCCACTGGTGCCCAGCTTCAGCTACTATTTCTTATCCTGAAATAATCCCTTAGGGTTTAGAATAGTTGTTTTCACCCATATTGGAAACATCTAGAAAGTTTTGGAAAATACTTCTGATATTGTATGTCATTGGTCTTGGGAAGGATTTGTATTTTAAAATGCTCCTCAGGGGCATTGCTTTGGAATGAACTCTCTGCATGTTCTTCTTACCTGTTACAGGTAATAAATCTTTCTCTACTTGATATAGGAGCTAGCATGTTGATAAGGAATCACGCTAGAGATTGCTGACATTAACAGAATGTCTTATAATATACAGCACAGTTCCTGCTGGGCACAGAGAACTGGAACAGTCTGATTGTCCAAGGCCAAATACTTCCCTGGTCCAACATACTGGAAATTAAAGACAGACTGGGCTCAAAAATCTAATCTGGAGGCATGGCTCAAGTGATAAGAATGCTAGCTAAGCAAGAATTCTTAGCAATAAAGAGGCTCTAAGCCCAAAACCTAGTATTGGCAAAAACAAAAATAAAAGCTTGCAACTT